TGCTGTCCACACTTCCTGCCCCTCTGCCCTGGACCTGCAGTGAAGGGGGACCCAGGGGAAGACAAGGCCCAGCAGAGCCCAAGAAGATCTTCACCAYCGCCTCCGCCATCTTGTCATCATCAAGGCCACCTGTCACAAAGCATCAATTGGGTGGCACTCAGCTCTGACTCTCCCAGGCCATGTGACCTTGGGAGGGTTTTGTCACCCCACCAGAGCTTCAATATTCTCCCTTTGGTACAGTGTGGTTAATAATGAAGCCACATCAGAGGGTTGGGGACAGAATACCATCAGGAAAGGGAGCACCCGGCATGGGGTCTGGCACGTAGGACATGTCAGAGCTGATGAGTGGTGGCCTTCAGTCGTGTGATGGACAGACGGTCCTCAGGTCAGACTGGGAAACAGGAACAAGTGGGGAAGGGGTTGCAGGAGGTGGATTGCCTGTCATCTCCTGGATGACAAATCGGAAACCTGGTAGAACCAAAGCTGTGGCTTAGCAAGAAAACCTGGCTCCCTCTATGTGGGGGGGAGGGGAGAGGGGAGAGGGGACAGAGAAGGGGGAGGGGGAGGGGAGGGGGAGAGGAGGGAGGCAGAGAGGAAGGTTCCAAGGACCCCACTGCCCTCAACCACATCAGGCCCCTGGAGCCTCACCTGACTCTGGTCACAGCTGGGCCTGGAGCCACCGCTCCCTGGGCCTGGCCTTGACCGTGAATTCCTCCTGGAGGCTGGCACAGCAACACCGGCTGTCAGCTTCCCCAGTTGTGGCTTCCTAACAAGCAGCTGATGCCACCAACTGTGACAACAAGCAAAGTCTGGAGAGAAATACCAAGGCTTCCAGCCTCTGGAGGCAGAACACACAGCAGAACAAAACCAAAATATGTCACCCTGCCAAGGGCAGCCCTGCTGGRCCGGCCTGGCCGGCAGGGGGTCCAGGGCCCAGGAGGAAGACAGACCAGCCAGAGCTTACTGCCCTCCAGCTCTGCCCTGAGCTTGTCTCTCACTCATCCTCSGGTGGCTTCTGGGACGGGGCTGCTCAAGGCTCTTCACAGCTTCACTYATAAATCAGGCCCAGAGAAGCCAAGTAAACGACTCCAGGTCTTGGAGGTTTGCATCTGACCCTGAGCCTTCACCTCAGCGAGCTCCGAGTCCAACATTCGCCGTTTAAGAAAGGGAAGCGAGAGACGAGAGACGGGGAATCAGAAGCCATGGTTTGCCGCCCAGCTGACCCCGTACCAGCTGGCCCCTGGGACCAGGTTCCTCCGTGAAATGGGAGAAGTACTCCCTGGGGTCCCCCTGGTGGTCAGTAAGACAGTGGATGAGAAAGCGCCCCAGGAAGGGGCTGACGTTCACTGCTGTGAGGAGACTGAGGCCCAGAGAGTGGGGGCTCGCGTGAGGCCGCTCCAGCCTCCTCACCCCTGCTCACCCCGACTTCACAGAGAAATTCCTGCCCTCCAGAACCAGAACCAGGCCCCCGGCAGGCCCCCGGGGGCAGCCTCCTAGCTCAGCCCTTCCCCACGGATCTCCATTTCTTGGTTTCTTCTGGAACAAGACAGCCAGGAGCTCAAGGTGTGGCACAGGGTTGCACCCGGGTGGCCCTGAGCCAGCCCCCTCCTGCCTTGGTGAGTTGGGGATTTTCACCACCCGGGCCTGCAGGTTGCTCAGGAATCCCAAGGGCCTGGCTCCACGTGGGCTCTCAGTCCCTGGAGGCTGTCTGACCCAGCAACTGAGGCTTGGGGACATGTCCTGATTCCCCTACTCCCTCACTCAGGCTCTTGGGCCCCTTCAGTGGCTCAGCAGTGCCTGGCCAGCAGCCTGAGCCCCCAGCCTGTGCACTCAGTGACCCAGAGGCCCAGCCACCCACTCYTCACAGGCTGACTGTCACCTGCCACGGTCGCAGGCCCTTCCAGACTTTGTGGTGTCCCAGAGTGGGATGAGGCAAGAGCAATTCTGCCTCCTTTGGCTTCCACACATACAGTTACCCCAAAGAGTGACCGCCACTCCTGCGTGAGGTGTGGAGCCCCAACCCCCACCCTCCACGGAGAGCCCATTGCTCTACCCACCCAGACATCGAGAAAGGTGGCTGGTTAAAATCCAAAGGGARTTCAATGTCTGGTGGTTGGAGCTCACAGCAGTGCCCCACGGCAGCTGACATCACTAGGTCCTCACGACCACCCCATTCCTCCACTTGGCAGCTAAGCCTTGGTCACAGGCGCCCATCTTGCTTAGACCCTGGGTGGCAGGAGGCTGGCTGCTCCAGGTCACACAGGTGGAGGACAGTGGGAAGTGCTGTGGGGAGGCTGGCCATACGGCAAGGTGTGGCGGGTAGGAGCAGGGGTGGCTTGGGACCTGGCATCCTGCTGGCGGGATGCTGTGTGGAGAAGATGGAGGGGGCAGGGAGGCTGCGGAGAGAAGCGTGAAGAGCGGCTGCAGTGACCCAGGCCCAGGTGAGCGGGCTCCGGCAGGAGGGCGGGRCTCAGAGACTGTGGTAAGTGCTCAGAGGCTAGATTTTTCCTCCTCCTGTTTTGTTTTTTCATGTAAACATTCGACCTSGTATTTTATGGATGTGGAGTCGGGATGAAAGGGGAAGGTGGTCCCACAGTTGGTGGTAGGAGTTGAGAAGGAGACTCGGACACCCAGGGTTGGGGCCTGGAGGGGCCGAGATGGGGAAGGAGCTTCCGCTGTGGTGGGGAAAGGCAGGTAGGCAGAGGAGGGGACTGCTGTGGGCGCCTCTGGCCGGGAGGCTCTGCCCGCCCCCACGRGGCCTCCCCAAGGCCTGCTCCTCCTTCAGGTCTCAGAGGAGAGGTCAGGCCCCACGTTCCTCCAGGAAGCCTCCCCAACCTGCGGGACAGGGCCTGTGCTCCTGGACCCCCCGGGAGTGCCCAGCCTGCTTGCCATGTCCCGCCACCCTGCGGTCCAACAGCCCGGGGTGTGATGCACCTTTACTTCTCTACCCGAAGCATGGGGCCTGGCCTGGAGCCTGTCCTCAGCACAGATGAGTGACTCGAGGACAGCCACATTTCCTGGTGCATGGAGCCGGCCCTCTACAGCCCCACCTCTGCCCTCTATGACCAGGCTCTACACCAACAGGCTGCACCCAACCAGGCCCGTCCTTTCTCCTACCAGACGAGGTGCTGGGGCCCCTGGGGGCAGCCCGGATCTCCCGTTGGAGTCCAGCCTYCCCGCCCAGCCTCTTCCTTCACCCTGTCTGGGGCTGGTCTCTGCTGTGGTCGGGACTTTCCAGGGCAGGTGCTGCTGGCTCCGCCTGGCCACCCTGTCCTTCTCACAGACCCCCCAGACCCTCCCTGATGCTCCCTGGCTTCAGCTTCCCTTCTGCGGTGACCCCTTCTGTACTGGTKCAGGCAGGGAAGGAGGAAGTAGGCCAGGCTGCTGCAAGATCCTGGTGCTGAGCCAGGCCAGCCCAGGGGCCCTGGTTCCCAGCCCTGCTGACTGGCTGTCTCCGGCAGGAACTCATGATAGCCACCATGGCTCAGCATTTCCCCCAGGATTTTTACACCCAATTTTGTTCATGTATGCCCACGCGCGAGCGTGTGTGTGTGTGTGTGTGTGTGTGTGTGTGTGTGTGTGTTCTTTACACCTCTGTTGCCCAGCACCATGCATGGCACATAGTAGATGCCCAATAAATATGTGTTGGGTGACCTACGGAAATGAGCACCGCTCCTCGTGTGTGTTTCATGACACGTCTGACCCCCTCCTCCCACACCTACCAGGGAAGGGGCAGGGACCATGTCACCATGTTTCAGTGGGCTCTGTGTCTGCCACAGTGCTGAGGCCCAGGAATCTCCACTTAATAAAGACATGACGAGCCACGCCACAGCGTCCTGCCTTAAAAGAGCAGTCTCTCAGCAGCCCGCAGCTCTGCATGCTGTGAYCAGCTGGGCGGTCGCTTTTGTCCCTGTGACGCTGTCTCATGAGTGTGTGGCCAGAGGAGAGTCAGCTTGGCTGACCTGGGGCGAGTGCGCACACGTGTACCTGATCCAGGTGGGCKCCGTCTCTCCGCAGGTGAGCCCCGGCCTCTTCTCCCAGTGGGAGCCCATGTCCCAGGGAGTCAAAGTGCCCTGGACCTCCGAGACCTAGGGCCTGTCACTTCCACCACTTCTGCGTTCTGAGTGAATCACCCRCGGTTCAGATGCAAGGTGGGAAGGGAGACCGGCCTCTTGCTGGGAACACATGCTCTTAAGCTGAGCTCCGCAGGTGACAGGTGAGGATATCCCGAGGCAAGGACAATCACGGTGGTTTTGCCACCTACAGTTCCAGCTGGGGCCATAAACATCAGAATCCGCCCCGATGATGAGATCACTTGGACGTTTATTAGAATTTAAGTCTGGAGTGACCAGAGCCTTCTAAACGTGGATGGAAATCTGGGATTCCTCTGATGCCCTCTTTCCCGTTTCTTGGCATCTTCCTGAATCCACGTGGCAGCAGGGGGTGCTGACATGTCCTCCTGACCCAAGACACGAAACCAGCATCAAGCTGCTCCTACCTGTGGGTGTCCAGGGGGCAGCCCTGGAGCAAGTGAGAGCCAGACACCAGGTGTAGCTCCCAGAATCCCATTTCCCAATATTTCTGCTTTGTCCCCAGGGTTCCCAGGTAGATCTGTTGTAGGCAGGTTCCCAGGTCTGCCTGGCAGCTTGATTTGGGGTTGGGCAGGGGGAGAGTGTAGGGCTCCCCGCTTCTGGATCCCTGTGGGAGGGGGCTGGGAGCTCCTGTCTGCTCCACCCCTGGCTTTATCGCTTCGAGCACTGGCTGCTGTCCGGATAGGTCACTTATTCAGGAGACCTTGGTGGTCCCTCTCTATCTACAGAGTGTAAGCGCCCTCAGGTCAGGGAATTCGCCTCACTTCTAACCTCCCGTCCTCAGGGGCTGGAGGAGAAGGTGCACCGAGGTGGCAGTGCCAAAGGGTGGCTTGTCGGGGATAATCAGAGATGGCTTCCTAAAGGACGGCAGGAGAGCAGATGCCGAGTGACAAGGGGCTGGTGGCCTTCCTAGCCCTGGAGCCGGTGCCTGCTGCGCTGGGGCCACCTGGAGAAGGGCTTGCAGTTTTTCTCGTAGGTGGGCGGGCTCTTTCTGAAGCAGTAGCAGGTTGCTTGTCACACTCGCAGGCCTTCAGCCCACAGAGGCAACCGTCACCAGGRTCCAGGGAACATCCACCTGCAGAGACACACAGGGTCAGGGGGGTGCCCTGCCTACCCAGGGCTTGGCYTTAAGGCTGGGGAGAGCAGGGAGCTGCAGGGGCCAAGGGCTGAGGGCAGAAAGGGACGGGGCCAGGCGTCCTTCCCCTAAATCTGCAAGCACTCCCCACCACATCCGGGCACCCACAGTGCTGGAGTGAACGGCCTGGATGGAAACGAGGGGTGGGAGGGGGCTGCATGGAGGAGCCCTGAGGTACGTGGGCAGCCACGGGCCTTGGGAGGAGGGCAGGGACTCGTGTTCCCAGAGCCCAYCTCACATTTCTGACTGCCTGCTTGACATGCCACTTGGGTGGCTTGGCACCCCCAACTGGGACGTTCAAAATGGCACCCTGGGCAGACCAGTGCCCCTTCCACCTGCCAAGCCTGTCCTCCCTCCACACTCAACACATGGCACCAACTCTGACTGGAACCAGAAAACTAGGAGCCAACCTGGTCCTCTGTCCACGTCCACACCAGGCCCCGAGTCCTGTTTAAAGTATTTCACGCTCTGCCTGCTTCTTTCCACCATCCTGGCCGTACCAAGTCCCTGTCATCGGCAGCTCTTCCTCCTTAAAGGAAGGAAATCAGCAGGAGCAGTCTTGAAATGTCCCCTGAATTATGTTCACTCTTCTTCAAGCCCCACAGTGCTTTCCTCTTATTCAGGGAAGACACCCCAGCCCTGGTGGCCAGTGGAGCACACTTGCCCTGACTGCACCCCCCCAGCCTCCCCTTCCTTATTGAACCTTTACCCCCTCCCCAGCCTCATTCTGCTCCAGGGACTCCAGTCTCTTTTAACTCACACATCTTACCCTGTCGTCCCAGGACCTTTGCACATGCTACCGTCTTGGTCTGAAAGCCTTCTCTCCAAGACCTTCAAGGGGTGAGATCCATCCTACACTTTGGGTCTTGATCAAATTCCACCTCCTCAGAAAGGCTGTCCCTGGCCATCCCAGCCACGCTCCCATGTCCCCCAGTTTATGTCATTTGCCACTTTTCACAATCTGCACTGACTGATTGGTTGACTTGTTTGGGGCCTCTCCTCTGTGGAGCGTGAGTTCTGGGACGTAGGGCCCCCCTCTGGCTCAGCGTCTCCAACATCTAGAACAGATGCTGGCCCCTCAGCCGCGGCACAGACAGCTGTTGAATAAGAGAATGAGCCTGTGGGCCTCGGGGACCCAGCGTCTGCCCTTGGGCTGAGCAGCCACTAGATGGGGCCTTTTCTTAGGTGTCCAGGGTCCTAGCTGTGTGTGTGTGTGTCTGTCTGTCTGTCCGTCTGTCTGTCTGTGGCACAGCTTCCCCCATTCTCTCTAACTCCCTCTGAGTTCCACGTCTGTGGGGTTGGAGTGCGGGAGAAGGTCACTAAACACCTTGGCGTGTGACCTGGGAAGTCCTCCTCGGTGTCCGTCTGTAAAGTGGGGACGGACAGAAGTGCCTCCTTCCCGGTGGTGGCGMGGCTGCTGCGGCTGGCTCCTGGGCAGGGCACTCTGCCAGGCCCACTGCTGCCGTGACAGGATGAAGCGGTGGCTGTCAGGGGACCGGCCTGGCTGCAGGCTGCCCGCCGTCCTCCTCTGCAGCGTCCACCTGGCGGCAGGAGCTGTCCTCCCGCGCCCGTCTGCAGGCACCATTTCTCCAGGCAGATGTCACCGCCCCACACCAGCTGCCCCTCGCCACTCGCCCTCAGGAAGGTGCCAGGGATGTTCACGCCTCTCCCACCCCTCCTGAGGCCCGGGCCACCTCTGCCCCCCCACTCCCCCTTCCCCATCTGCCACAAGCTGTCAAGGTCCCTCAGGCCCCTCCCCAGGCCCGGCTCCCCCCTCCGCTGTCCCTCCCACTCCTTCGTCCTTCTCTCCTCCTGCTTGTCTCTGTCTGTCCCCTCCTCTCCTCCTCGCTCCGCTCCTGCATCTCAACTCCCAGGCCTCCTCCTTCCCTTCCCTCACTGCCCTCTCCCTCCCCCTGGTCCTCCTGTCCTTCCTAAATCCTCCCTGACCTCCGTCTCCACCCCCCGTAGCTCACCCAGCCCCTGGCCCTTCTGGAGTGGATCTCCAGCAACRGTCCTTCACTGGGGACTGCCACCCCTCAGCCTGTCACGACGGGGAAGAAGAGGCAGCCCTGGGCCATCTCTGGGAGCCTCCTCCCAAAAGCAAACCTAGATCAGACCCTGCATCTTGGAGTGCGCTGCGGGAGAAACTGAGGCACGAAGAAAAGAACTGGTGGCTTCAGAATGTCCTTTCCCTTTCCATGAAGTACAGCTCCACGAATGAGACAAGGCCACAGGTGCACGTTCCTGCCTGTGGCTAACCCAGACCCTCACCAGGCCTGTCTGTGCCCCCAGCCTGGGCTCAAATTTTCCCCCAATTCTCTACCAAGTGGCACTCTTGGTAGCCTGGTCCCTATCAGAATGTCTCAGCACCTCACATCTTCTGGATTCCCAGCTCCTGCCCAGACCTCTGCCTTAGCGCCAGACTTCAATGCAAGTGTCTCATTGCCGACCCCTTGGATGTTCCTTTATTAGTCCRTTTTCCATAGCTATAACAAAATACCTGACGCTGGGTAATTTACAAAGAAAGAGGGTTATTTAGCACATAGGTTTGGAGGCTGAAAGTCTAGACAGCAAGGTGGTGGCTCTGTGGGGCCTGCCTGGCTGCCTTGAGGTGGATGGCATCCTGGCAGGAGCATGGCCAGGGGCGGAGATCACACAGCAAGGGCGGAAGTCAGAGAGACMCGGGAGGGGCCGGTCTTGCTTTTATAAACAACCCTCTGTGGGAACTAAGCATCATCCCGTGAGAACTGCATTAGTCCCTTCCAGAACCCCCAGACACCTAGTGACCTCCTACGGGCCCCACCTCTTAAAGTCCCCCATTTCTCAACATGGCCACTCTGGGGACCAAGCTGCCAACACAAGAACCCCTGGGGGACATACCCATGTCCAAACCACAGCACGTCTCAGACTCCACGGTTCATACCAAACCCCCTGTGTCTCCGTGGTTCATACCAAGCCCCCTGTGTCTCCGGGGTCCGCTCCTCCCCCATTTCTCCAGGTCAGTAGATGGCGCCACTACCCATGGCCTCAGGCCTCCAGCCCCCATCAGCCGCCCTCTCCTTCAGACCAACTCCCACCTGCTGGCAGGTCCTGGCAACTGCACCTCCGAAGCACAGCCGGCACCTGCCACCACCCAGTTCAAACTCCGGTCACCCTCCACAGGGCTTCAGAAGCYGTCTCCTCCTGGCTCCTCCCTCCCCGCTTCTGCACAGCAGCCCCAGGAATCTTTCCAGAACAAAGCTCCCGCCTGGGGCAGCGCCAACCCCCTCTCCCTTCCTTCCCAAGGCTCCCCGCTCCTGCCGCTGGCAACCAGCCTCAGACCCCCCTCGCAGGCCTCCCTCGGCCACTTAGGTAGGCCCCCTGCCCCTGGCCTGCACCTTGCCCCAGCTTGGCACCTGGTGTGAGCTGCTCACAGCCTGGTCCCTATCAGAATGTGTCTCCATGGTGACCAGGTCGTGGGCTCTTGCCCCTAGAAGGGAAGCTCCCTCCTGACAGGGGTGGCGTCTTTCCCTTTTGCTCTCCACCCTGATGGCTGGTCTGCCCCCGCAGCGTTTGCTGACGGCCTTCCAGGCTGCCCTTACGTGGCCTGGGCACCAGCCAAAGGCGCCTGTGCCGGGGCCCAGGAGCCAGGATCTGGTTCCYGATCTGTGGCTCACGCAGGTGACAAAGGTCTCTGCAAACTCAACTCCCAGAAGCTGCCACTTCCGCCTTCCCACTCTGGTAGAGGGGGCATCGGAGGACCAGAGACGGAGGTGACAGCAGTACAGGTGGCTAGAACCGACCGTCTGTCTCCAAGGCTGGGCTCCTCCCCACACGACACATGCGTGCATGCGTGGGTGGAGGGGGGTGTCACTGCCGGTGATCTTAAAGTCCCTTGCAAATGCCAAGTACTTATGTAAGCCCACTCAGAGGAGGGAGAACCACCCCCCAGGCTGCTGSAGGGCAGCTGTCCCCTCCCAGCAAACCGGCCCCTGGGCTCTGTCAGAGGCCTGTCTCTGCATTGATCTCCTGGTGGCATTTAGGTGGACGGACCAAGTTGTTTTGCGCCTTTCCTTCCCGGCTCACCTACCACATCCCTCCCAGCAGCCACTGGTTGCTAGGCAACATGGGACCAGGCTTGGGTGCAGGATTTCAGAGCTCAAGGGAGGCTGGGGAGGGGTTAACCCTTGCAGGGCAGCTCTTTGAACTAAGGGCTRGGGGTAGGGAGGGGGGCCTACCCCAGGAGAGTGGCCGGAACAGCCTTAGCCGCCCAGTGCTTTCCCACCAAGTAGAGGGGAAGAGGAAACCTGGACAGACGGGGAAATCGCTGTGTCCCACAGGAAGGGCACTAACTGGGTAGCCACTGCAGGCCAGCCGCTGTAGCAGGTCACTCTCCTCAGTGCTCCCAGCCACTTTGTGAGACACCGGTGATGAGCTCCGCTGTATAGACAGGGAGACGAAGGCCCAGCTGGGAGGGGGGAGGCTGGCAGGGGGGAGGCGGGGGTGGGACCTGGCTCTGCCTGGCTCCTTCGCCTTTCAGCAGGAGTGGGAAGATCTGAGCCATTAGAGAGGCCCTCGTTGCCCTCCCTGGGCCAGGGCTGAACCTTCTGACTAGCTTGCTGCAGATCACGAGGCCTACATTTGTGTGAGAGTCCTTCCAACAAGCACCGTCTACAGGGCAGGGTGGTGGGGGGCAGGCCCACCTGGCTCTGAACCCCAACTCTTCTTTCCCTGACTGTGACCGTGGCTGTGACTCAACCTCTCTGAGCTCAGCCTCCTCTTTGATAGTGGAGGGAATAATACCCACCTGAGAGGCCCATTGCTGGGGTTCAAGGTGCTACATGTAGAGCATCTATCTTGCCACCTGGAGTTTCCATAAGAATGTGACTCGCAGGACAGGAGGAGCCTGGCCTGCCCTTGCTCTGTGCCTGGCCCTGGCACAGGGCTGGCATTGGACAGGCACCCAGGGGTGCTCAGTGCATACTGGGCAGGTGAATCATTGTGCCTGGGTCCCAACACACAGCAGCCACAGATCCAGCAAGAGCCCAGGTGGCCTGGCTCTCGGCTCACTGCTGGGGGTTGCTGATGCCMGGTGCTGACACACAGCCCCTCCTGTGCTAGGCCCCTGGGCAGGGAGGGCTCCAGACTGCGGGAGCCCGGGGCAAGGCTCGGGGCAGCACGTGAGGAAAGCACAGCCCAGGCCACCAGCTGGCCAGTCCAGCTCTCGTCACCACCCGGCACATGCCAATCAGGGGACATGTGTCACCTGTTGGGGCTCCAGCCTCCTCCCACCCCCAGTTACTTTCCTGCACCCTCCCATGTCCTGGGGTACAGTGTCCCCAAGGGCCCTCTACCCTGTGAGCAGCCCGGGCGGAGGCTTGGTCTGGGCCTCTGACCAGTGAGGAGCCTCTCCCCACCCCCTGGTTCCACTGCCCTCCCTTGACACCTCCTGTTCCCTTCTTCCCCATCCTTGCACTTTCTGAGCCATCAGRGGAGGGCGCCCTTGAGCATTCTTCTCCAAGAGTGGGGCCTCTTTGACGGCGGTAAGGGGCACTTGACACCGTCACCAAGATGAAGAGAGGGAGCCCTGCAAAACACRACCAGGAACCAGGATGGGGACGGTCGGGGGACCTTGCCAGGCATCCCTCCCTCTCTAACCCAYGGCCCCTCCTCATGGGGCAGACAGCCCCTGGCCTCAAGAAGGTGTCATTCTTGTGTTGAAACAAACAACGTCCTGGGGCACCCCCCACCTTCCCCTCTCCCAGTGTGGCCTTAGGGGTGTCGTGGAAGAGGCGCTTGGCTTTCGGCCTGAGGATGACCCTGGGCAGAGAGCTCCAGCCTAAAGCCTGCTTGAGCTCCCCTGGGGAAAGGGGTGCTTCTGGTCAGGTGAGCACTCACGGGGGCCGGGGCCACGCAGGGGGCGGCGGGCGGAGCTGAAGCTGATCTTCTCCAGCCAGTGTCGGAGCCTCCAGTCCTCACAGCTGGTGCCCAGGAGACCTCACAGTCCCCACCCCGGGTCTGGTACAGCCGAGTTAGAATCCCGGGTCAGCACACTGAGCGCTCTGGAATGTATGTGTGGGGGGGTGCATGTCCTTGGGATGGCTTTCCCTGGCCTCACGGAGACAGATGAGCTCCAGAAACCCTCACTATGGATGATCACACCCGGGGGGAAAGTGTTCCCTCACCCCCACCCTAAGAAGGGAGCCCCACCCTGTATGGGGGGCCCAGACCACCGGCTGGAATGGGTGCGACCCACAGAAGGCTACTGCCCAAAGCCACTTGCTCTTTAGACCACACTTGCCCTACCCATACCTACACCCCACCAGCCAATCCATGCCTCGGGACCCCAGGTCATTCCCCGTGGGTGGACTCTCAGTGTACCTGCCCACTCTGGCTTTTTTCCACCTCTTTCAGTGGCCTCAATATCCTATGGATTCCCTTCTCATATCCCTCCTAGTTACTTTTGTGTCCCCCATGGCACCGATCTGCATGCCTGGCATGYAGTTGCCCTTAACGAGTATTTGCTCAACTGAAAGACGGTTGAGCTGCTTTGTTAACACAWGACAGAAATAAGGAAGAATGTTTGCAACAGCAACAGTTGCCAAGGGAAGCTGCARAGACAATGAAATCTCAAGTCAACAACTTTTTATTGAGCAGGTACTATTTGCCAGGTGCTAGAAATACAGCTTTGGGCAGAGAGTCCAATGAGAGATACAACAAGCCCTTTCCAAGGAGCTCTGGTCCTTGGTCTTGCCCCTTTCCATCTCAAAGCATCTGGAAAAAAATCTCATTTCCTAAAAGAACACTGGGTCAACAAGGAAGTGGTGGTTAAGGAAAGACCAGATTCTAWGGCATTTCCCTGCAGAGAAGGCTACTCACAGACCACCGTCTTGATGATGAGGGACTGGTAGCTGTTCAACATGGGCTGGCAGCCAGACTCCTTCAGCCTCTCGTAGCAGCAGTCATGCGTCACAYAGCATCTGGGGCCACATGAGAGGGAGACGGCATGGGTGCAAGGGTCCCTGGGGAATCGGCTGGAGGACCTCAGGTGGGACAGCAAGGGACTCACCTGCCTCCCCTCCTGGAGCCAGAGTGGCGAACTACTACTAAAACAGTTGTCTCTCAGTTCCAAGGAGGAAGGGTTCCSCATCCCTGAGGATGCCGAGGTCCTCAAGCTCAAGTCCCTTATGTAAAATGACATGATACTTGCCTATAACCTACACATGTCCCCTATAATACCTAGTGCAATGTAAATGCTATGAAAATAACCATCATACTGTGTTGTTTAGGGAATAACAAGGAAAAAGCCGATATGTGTTCAGAACAGACGCATTGTTTTTCAACTAGTTTCCATGTGAGGTTGGTGGAATTGAGGATGCAGAGCCCGTGGCCGACTGTAATATTAAAAATAAATAAAAACAGCCAGTAACGTCCACTGAGCCCCCCTAGTACCTACTGCTGTTTCCTTGGTGACTCGGTCCCCTGGGCAGTATAGTCATTGTCCCCATCTTATAGGGGAGGAAAAGCGATTCAGAAAGGCAAATTTCTCAAAATTATGTGGCTGGCGTGTGGGGTGTGTGCGTGCGTGCGTGCGTGCGTGTCTAAGCAGAGAGGAAAAGAATTGCTATATATCATATTAATAGATCTGACACTTAATAGTTGCTGGTTAAGTGTTTAGTTCAACAAAAGAATGTTGAAGCAATGATGGGAGAACAAAAAGTATACTCATGATATTTGCAAGACCCAACAATTTGTTGATTACAAACCTTTGTGAAGTTAGCTGCTGTCCTGGAAATACAAAACAAATTAAGAACAGGGCGGTAGCAGGAGTTTACATTCTAATCATCTAATGGTTGCCCTTAAGTAGCCGAGACCTAGCACATATCCTACCCTGCAGGAAACAATAAACCTTRTCATCTGAATATACACATGATCATGTGGATACAATAAGTTTAATCACAGCCCTAAGACAAAGGACACATAATAGAGACCTGTGAAAGGTGGGGGGAGCTGAAAATACCTGTGTCTTCAAGAGCAATAGTGACATTTCAAATTAGGGAAAARTACTAAGGGGAGGTAAGATAAAAACAAATAATTAAAACGATAAAAAAAATTATGTGGCTGGGAATGATAGACCCAGAACTCARATAGGTCCCTGAGACTCCTCCATCGGTCCAGCCATTTTGCCTGAGCACCTTCTATGTGCCAAGCACTGGGATAGTCTTTTTTTTTTTATTGGTTGTTCAAAACATTACATAGCTCTTGACATGCCATATTTCATACATTTGATTCAAGTGGGTTAGGCACTTCCATTTTTCCCCCATATACAGATTGCAGAATCACATCGGTTACACATCCACGTTTTTACATACTCGTGTCTGATGTATTCTGCTGCCTTTCCTGTCCTCTACTATCCCCCTCCCCTCCCCTCCCCTCCCCTCTTCTCTCTCTACCCCATCTACTGCACTTCATTTCTCTCCCTTGTTTTTTTTCCCTCTTTCCCTTCAGCTCCTCTTGTATGTAATTTTGTATAACCATGAGGGTCTCCTTCCATTTCCATGCAATTTCCCTTCTCTCTCCCTTTCCCTCCCACCTCTYGTCCCTGAAGGAGACTACTGTCAACAAGAACAGTCACAGTCCTCGCTCTCAGTGCTCAGAGCTGGCTGGGGGCTGGGGGGTGGGGGGCGGGGCCGGGGGAACAGCAGGGGATTGACCTCTGCCCGCTTCTTCCACCACGAGGGTCAGGGATGCGGAGCCCCCGGGGACAGCCAATAAGAAGACAAGATAAACCTGGGCTCAGATCCTAAGACCAGAAATGCCAAGGACAGCGTTTCCATCCCCTTTCCCTTTCCCATCTGCAGGCRGGCTCTTGGCCTTCATCTTTGGCTCATAGTTTTGAATCTGCCTTTGAACTTGGACCGGGAGGCACACATCATCAAGGAAAGGGRACAGGCTATGACAGAGGCAAACCCTATTCCAGTCCTGGTTTTGCCACTTAGGACCACAGGCTTAGCGGCTCTTGGTCTGGGACCTCCCCGTCCTCACCTGTAACATGGGGGTGGTGACATGGCCTCCTACATTCACTAGGAGGGTTAAATCAGTCCTCCTGCAGACCACCCGTCCTGGCCAGTCCGCTGTTCCACCACCAAGCGCGGGAGACTCAAGCTCAGGTGTGATACTTCAGGCCCTGGGGTGGGGACACAACTGTCCAGCTAGGTTGAACATGGCAAGGAACACTTTGTCTTCTTATTTCTTCAAATGAAGCAACACACATACTACCCAGTTTCCTCCCGACACCCTCCCCAGATGACACCAGCTGTCACCTCTTCTAGGAAGCCGCGCTCGCCCACCCCATCCTTAGGAGCAGGCCTTGGAATCCAGGTCGGGCCGTGTGATCGCACCCAGATGGCCAACTTTTCCAAACTGGGCCACTTGGATTCCCTCCTAGAACATGTAATAGGGCCAGGAGGCAGCAGGGTAGTCTAGCCACACCCATAATCCTAAAATCCAAGGGCTGGGGGAAGAGCACACAGTTCCTTTAAAATAGCTTCTAGTGCTCTGAACAGGACCAGCTACRTGCCATGCAGGGCCTGGTGTGGAAGGGAACGCAGACCTCTTGTCAAAAACGGCAGGGCTGGGGATGTGGCTCAAGCGGTAGCGSGCTCGCCTAGYATGCGTGCGGCCCGGGTTCGATCCTCAGCACCACAGACAAACAAAGATGTTGTGTCTGCCGAGAACTAAAATAAACATTACAAAAAATTCTCTCTCTCTCTCTCTCTCTCTCTCTCTCTGTCTCTCTCTCTCTTTAAAAACAAACAACAACAACAACAACAACAAAAAAACGGCAAGGTGATGGCAGCAGCACATACACACGTTGGGCCCTTAGGAGGACTGGCCTGGCCGACTTCATGGCCACGTGTTCAAGAGGCTGGCCCCGGACACAGGCTCTTCAAGTCCCACCCTGTGACCCTTCCAGTCTTTTCTTGCGTTGGCCTGAGTTGGTTTCTCTACTTGCCGTGAAAGGCTCCTGGTTCTCCCCCTGCCCCGCCCCTCTCTGGCTTCAAGCTACAGCTTCAGTGCAAATCGAATGGCAGGTGGCCTTGGAGCCCTGCACACACCTGTCTGGGTCGTCCACAGGGATCCCTTTGCCTCCGAGCCCACAGTAGCAGTCCTATCCATAGCAGGAGAGGAAGGTGCTCCTTCCCGTGATGTGGCTGACCATCCTCTGGAACTGCCAGAAGCTGCCGAGGGTGGGGACTGTCACTGACAATGAGGAAACAAGGAACAGGAAAAGCGGCAAAGAGTATGGTGCAGCCTTGGCGTCCCCCACCAGGGGGCTTTGCAGGGGGGCTGTCACCAGGTCCCTAAAGCAAAGTGATGGCCTGGTTGGGATCATCGGCCTCTCTCCTGGGGAAGAAATAGGACCAGGTTTACCCCGTCACACAGAGTGTCTTGCTAACCCACGATGAGCACCCAGTTTCCATGACATTTAGGACAATGCTCCACTGCCTTCCCCTCAAATGTAGAAAACCACCACTGGAGGCAGAAGCCCCCTCAGGCCTGACGCAACATTAACAGGAAAAGTTCAAAGCTAGAAATGCCAGTCCCTCCGGATATCATCAGGCATTTACAACCTCAAAGGAGAAATCAAATATGTACGAGGCAGGAGAGACACCCTCGATCCATATTTTAAAATAGCAAATGCATGTGGACTCAGTGATTTTTACTTCTACAAAATGCTTCCAGAAGCAGGCACAAAAATATATACAAGGATGTTTCTGCGGTATTGTTTGTGATATCAGAACAATGGAAACCACCCAGGTGCCCACCAATGGAGGGTGGGTAATAAAATTAGGTGTTTTGAAAATATATTGTCTTTAATAGCAAGATCTCTAGGCAGTGGGATTTAGGAGGGGGATAGAGAAACCGAGGGGCAACAGTTGTTTTGTATACAGCTATGCAATTTGCTTTTATTTTTCACAATGAGCAGGTATTATTTTTCTATTACAAAGTTTCCAGGTGCGTGGGGGGGGGGGCAGAGCAAGGACCTAGATGAATGAACACCCAAGTTTTAGGAGTGGCTACACCTTGGTGTAGGAAAGGAGTAGGTTCCAGGGCAGGTGAAGAGGGGCTGCTGCCGGTACTCAGTATTAACTTTGCCATAAAAATACAGTCAAAACGTGAACCTGAAGAAGGAAACCAAAGGCAGAGTGGGGACATTTTCCCGGGCGCCTTCCTGCCTSGTTGCCCTGTTGGAAGCCTCACTGCTGTGGCAGAAGCCCCCTCCTGCTGCAGGCCGGAGTCGGTGCTTCTACTCTCCGAGGAGGAAAAGTTTCTGGGACCACCTATGTTTGCCTTTTTAAAAAATGGATTGAGACTGTCTTTCCTAACTCATTCATATTTTTTTTTCTGTGAAATTGTAAATGCATGATGATATCCAGAGGGGCTGGCGTTCTTGGCTTTGAACTTTTCTTATTTTACATCAACCTGAGCCAAGGGAGGGTCATTTTCAGTTCCTGGAGAAATGTGGGACCCCTCTCTGGCTGCAGCTCTTCAGGACATGCTGTGGGGCTACAGAAGGGACCCTTCCTGCGTACAGGTTCCTGTTACACCATGACCTTGAAAGCTGTCAATTCCACCACTAGGGGTGGTTTAGACATTTTTAAGATTAGGGACCCGAAAGTTACTGTTATACAGCAGAAACAGACATTTTTTTAAAATGGATTTGGACAAATATCTACTCAACTAATCCAGAATAAATCTACGAATTTTCCTTTTCCTAGGGGGCCTTTTTTCCTTTTGCAGAGGAATGCAATCTGCTCCCCTGGTCACAATGACTCACAGTGACCAGTTATTCCTTGAGTCATCATTAGAATGTCTTTCTGATAATAATGCACCACACCTAAACTAGCCAGATATGTGCCTGCCATTTTGTGCGGAAGCCACAAGACTTTAAATAAAGGCAACTAACATCCAAAGGAAGACCCTCCCAGGGTCAGAAGTGGTCGAACCACAGCGGGCGCCTCTTCTGAGTATGAAGCCAGCAACATCCTAGAAGTTCTATGAGGTCTCGGCACTGAGGTCAGCACACTCCGCAACAGAAACAGAAGCAGAACTTTGGTGGCAGCCTGTTTCGGTGACTTGTGGCCTTCCCTCACCCAGTGCCACCTCAGGAGGGGCCACCCCAATGGAAGAGCGAGGACAGCATCCTGGTACCACCTATCTGGCTTACTACTTATGGCAGGAGATAAGGACAACAGGAAGGGCAATGACCTTCATCCCCAAGGACAGCAGGGGTCCAGGGAGCCAGGGTCCCACCTTCTTTGTCTGCCAGTGGAACTCCTGTTTGGGAAGAAGGGCCTGGAATGAGACGAGGCCATATGAGTGCAAACCAGTCACTGTGCAGGCCTCGGAGAGCCTTGAGCAGAGGGCGCAGAGAGCTTCCTTCAATTCTCTCTGAATATAATGTCCTTCCTGGTTTTTAGACCCAAATATTAAAAAATAAGAAGGACTCCATTAAAAAGTCCAAGTATCATTTTTTTTAAAAAACTTCTTTGAACAACACCACCTCTTCAACATTTTCTTTTTCCTTTAGAGGAGTCAGGAGTCCCTCTGTTCTCAATGACACATACACTGTTAACGGTGGCGATCCAGCTCAGGGAAACCTGGTTCCACTTGCATCTCTGTCCAGGGGTTTTCCCCGCTTGAAACCCTGGTGTCTTGGTGGCAAACTTCGTCTCTCTGAAACTTGGCTTCCTCCTGTAAAGTGAGACTAATAATCCCTATGAGCAATGTCAAGCCTTTATTAAGAATGCTAAGGGCCTGGCGGGTATTGTATGACTCAACCCTCACATCTTAGGAGTTCCTGTGATCTCCATAGAGAGGGGGTAACGGAGGCCCAGAGAAGCTGAACCAATTCCTTATAATCCTACAGCTGTCTACTCCACGGACTTGTGGGAACCAGTTGAAACAATGAAAATAAGACTGTTACCTGTGATAAACCACAGTAATAGGTAAACCTCGAGTTTTCATTACCATCAGTGGTAATGACACCCAGATTAGGCACACTGCCCATGGGCCAATGGAGGAGAATGGGGCCTTGTGTCCCAGTGAGCCACATGGGCCCCATCATAAATCAGGTTACGCCTGATAACGTCAGGACTTGGAGCGTGAACAATAGCTCAGCTGAGCCTAGAGACTTTGGCAGGTGCTCAGCTGAGCCTAGAGACTTTGGCAGGTGCCTGAGCTGCAGCTCGATTTTCACCCCGTGGCAGAGTTTCCCAGGGAAACTTCAAAACACCCAGCCTGCCGCAGAGCCCGGGGAGAGGTGACCAAGTGCGTTTACTATTTTGCCCTCTTTGGCAAAATTCTGGTGGATGCTGTGAGGCTGGGCCCTGACCAGGTCGTGTGCTGGCCACCCTTCCTTCCCTTGCTATGCGGGATGTTTTTAAAATTAGGTTCTATCTCCACAGGCTTTTGCTTTCCTTTTCTCTTCTGAGTTTGAAAAAAATAATTGTGCGCAGCTTTGGTGCACAAAGGAGAGACATCTTTGGAATGGGCAGGCGATGGTATTTTAAAGAGACAAAGAGAGGGGTCAAAGTTGGCTACTGGTAATGAAATCTGACAGACTCTTATTAAGCACCAACTGCGTGCTTGGCTAATGAGAAGATTCTGGCCAGAGCAAGGCTGCCAAGCTGGCCGCAGATACCGAATACGTATAGACCAAATATAGCCCTAAGCGCCGTGTGGGCAGAAGGTCTGGGTTCACTTCTCCATTGGTTCTTCCATGTTTAGCTGGATCTTCAGGGAGGACATGCCAGCTGCTCCCCACCCTCACTCCCTGGGAACTGCCCCCTGCTGCAAGGGACCCTGTGTCTCGAGGTTATGAYCCCTTAGGGGAGAAGGGAAAGCGTGCTCTCTAGTTCATGCCTGGCTGGGGTGCTGGTTTAAAGGCTTGTCCCCTGCCTCTTTCAGGATAACTCCGAGAGGCCTTGCCGGCCCCAGAACTCCCTGGAGGACTGGCCAAGACCTCAGCGACTGCCTGCATCAGCTTCCCCCTCTATGCATCAGCTTCTCCTGCTATTTGCCAGCGTCTCCCACAGCGTCAGATTCTCCCCCCGTGACATCTTTCCCCATGCATGTCAGCTTCTCCCTTTGTAAGTAGGATTCTCCTTCTGGGTCACTTTCTCCCACTGTATTAGCCTTTTCTCYCCCCACCCCACCCCTGAGGCAACTTTGTCTTCCCAGTCTTGCCTGGTTCAGTTCCCGATGGCTGGACCTCCTGGGAGGCTCCCAACAATGCACTTCTCTGTCTGAGTCTGTATCCAGGGAGCCCAGAGGAAGCTCACGTGGAGCTGGGAGCACTGCTCTGGAGCTTGTAGAAATAAATGTCTTTTGTGCTCAGAGGCAGGAGCGTGAACCCTCTGGGGAGGGTCACAGAGAGCTTCCCTCAGGAGGGGCACTGGAGCAGGCCTTGAATGAACTTCAGCCTGTATTCTGCTCCCATTTCCTTCTCCCTACAGCCCTTCAAGACAGGCGCCATGACTGTCGCATTTGACAGACTAGGAAACCGGGGCTCAGAGGAGAGAAATGATCTGAAAAAAATCCACACAGCTACCAAGTGGCAGGGCCAGGATTTACCTTCTGTCCCTAACTCCAACCCCAGGGCTTCTTCCTGCTCATTAGGTCCCCACCTAGACCCCTCGTCCCCGTGGCATTCGGAAGGTCTCAGCATTTTCAGAGATCACAGCTACGRCTTGGGCGAGACAGATGCGGTTCCCTCCTTTTGACTTTTGGTTTGGGACTGAGACAAAACCAAGAGCTTGGGGGCCAGAGAGCCAGAGAGGGAGGGGCAGCCACATTCAACCGACTCCTGCAGCAAGTGGGGGGCCCTGGGAGGCCCTCCGGGTTATGTGCGCAACTCATTGATCCATCTTTCAACACACAGCACTGAAACCCTGGTGGACTCTGCGAAGGAGAAAGTAAGATGACATAAACTGCAAAGCCCCACGAGAACCAAGGTCACGGCCATTTTATCCACTTCCTAATCCCTAGCACCCACCTAGCACGGTGCCTGACACAATGAGTACCAAGGACGAAGAGGACAACTTATATATTGCACTCCCTTAACACCCTGCTAGGTTACTGACCACGTCACGGTTGCTGTTATTGCTATTAGGATATCTTCTTCATCGTACACAAAAGTAAACTAGGCAAGAAGAGATGGGGGGGCATATACACACCTGAGGAATGAGTGGATGAGTGAATGGTCACTGTCTTGTCATACTTCGAGTCACATAGACAAAAGCAATACCTACAACCAACCTGGTACCAACATGAGGCCGCAGGTCGTCTCYGTGAGTCCTCTTGGGATATTCCCTGTGAGGCTTATGTTCTCGATCCCAGTTTATCACTGAGGGTAACTGAGCCTGGCAGAGGTTAGGTCATTGGCCCTGCGAATTGACAGGTGCCAGACTTACCCCCAGGTGCACCGGACCCCCAAAGTGGGCACTCCTCCTCACCCGGTAGTTAGGTGAACCATTAGCCCAAAGGCTGCACCTATCTAAAACACAGCTGGGAAGACCCAGCCACCCAAACAGCGCCGCAGATACCCCAGCGRACTTATTTTACTCACAATTCTAACAAGCCCCTCACCCCCTACCCCCTTTTTAGAGCCAGCTTTTGCACAGGAATGGAATCCAGAATGGCTTTCTTGGTAGGAAGGCCAGGGAGGAAAGATAAACCARTAACCATGGAGGCCTGTGAGCCTGGGGCCACTGAGTGTGGGGGCAGACGGCTGGTGGCATCAGCTGTATTGCACCGGAGCAGCCAGGACAAGGTGCTCCGTGCAGAGCTGCTAGACAGACAGACAGCAAGCAACTCAGATCCTACCACAGGAGAGAGGCCTGGARCTGGCCCTACTTCCTGTCAGAGGATTTAAGCTCAGCTTCCTCCTCTGAGATGGAGACAGTGGTCCTGCCCAGCCCCCAAGGAGCACCAACAGATTCAACCAACTCCCAAAGGTAAATGCACTTGGCCGACAGTTGCCAAGGTAACGGCAGTGCTTGTCGGAGTCTGCTCAACGAGACCCGAAAGTAGGCAACTCATTTTTGGATATTTTCCAACAATATGGGGAAAACAATAAAGCCCTAAAGTACTTCAAGGGGTAAGCTTCATTATCTAGAAACTTCCCTCCGGCAGATGCCCTCAGGAAGCTGATTCACCAGGAGACATGACTAAGGTGCCAGCAGCTCAGCCTCGTTAACTAGATTATCCACCCAGTTCACACTCCTCCTGAAGGTTATCCAGGACCTCAATGCAAACGTCTAATGGGATCAAGAAGCCCCAGAGCAAGACACTGGGTACAGGTAGAGTGTGGTGGCTCATGCCTACAGTCCCAAAAGCTTGGGAGGCTGAGGCAGGAGGATTGAAAGTTCAAAACCAGCCTCAGCAACTTAGTAAGGCCCTAAGCAATTTAGTGAGACCCTGTCTCAAAAATTTTAAAAATGATAATACAATAAAAAAGGCCATGGATGTGGCTCAGTGATTAAGCACCCCTGGATTCAGTCTCCAGTACCCTCCCACTGAAAAAAGACCCTGAGTACAGACACTGAAGTCTAGAAATCGCTAGTTGGAAATGGGGCCAAACGCTCTTTCAGAACAAGTCTCTAAAAAACTGGACCTTCCGCCTTCAGCTGGGCCTGAGGGACCTCAAGCCGGTTAGCTTTGGGGGCATCAGCTGGCAGCTCATGGGATTCCCAGGAAAAAAGCCAGCATGGAATGAACATCACCATCATTACTAATTCAATTCTCATTAGCTGAGCACCCACCACACAGCAGGCAGCACCTAGGCAAAGGGGAGGAGCTCATAACCCACTGAAGGAGAGCCTCATGGTCAGAAAGCAACATAACCTTCATTAAGCACTTCCGAGTGCCAGGCACTGTGCTAGGACCTGTCCAGGCGTTATCTCACTTCACCCTCCCAGCAATCCTATTCTACAGATGTGGAAACTGAGGTCCAGAGAAGGGAAGGTCCTTGGCTGGCAAGTGGTGGGGCCAGGACTGAAATGCAAGCTTTGACTCCAGGGACCTTGCCTGCAACACCTACCACCAGCTCAACAGCAGCTCCACATACAGTGCTTTTGGAAATGTGGGGAAGGGGGCAGAGTGGGGTTCTGGGGTACAGAGTGGGCACTGGAACCAGGTGGATGTGAGTTCCAACACAGCTCTGCCCTAATGAGCTGGGGGTCCTGAGCACAGTGTTTTCTAAAGCAAAGGAG